ATAACAGCTATTTAAATACGTTTGTCAGGACAAGTATAATGTTCTTTTTGTGTGATTATAGCATTTCCAAGAAGTTTAGAAATATTTTTGTAGAAGAAATAATGTGTGTGATTGGTCAGGGTTTTTAGTTGAGTGGGAATCGAAAAGCAGGGATGTGCAAACGTTTCAAATTTGAAATGTTTTTGAATTCAAAATGTTTCCTGCTTTACTGGAAAAGCGAATAGGGCCCAACCTGGTCAGAAAAATTCTGATGCTATTTTAACTATTTTGGAAAGGTTCCTGGGTTGAAAGTGTTGTGTTTTCAGCTTGAAACAGCTGTTTCCATGTTGGAACACTTCCAGTAAGATTAGTCAGTTCTATGTGTTACATCCTTTAAAACCATATCAATAAAAGAAAATGTAAAAAAGAACAGGGGAAAAAAGAGAGAGCTTGATGTTAACCTGAGATCAACCAAGGTTACTCAGAATGGTTTGAAAAAGGATACATAAAAGGAGCTTTAAAGTGGGTTGGGAAGCAGGATTGAGCAGTCCAGTGGGCTGAAGGGAGAAGATTGCGAGTTCTAGTTCCGCCTGAAAGCTGGTTGGGTGACTTTGGGCCAATCATCAGGAGACAGTGAGTTCTAGTCCTGCCTCAGACCTGAAAGCCAGCTGTCTAACTTTGGGCCAGTCACTAGCAGGCGGAGAGTTCTAGTCCCGTCTTAGGCATGAAAGCTGCTGGATGACGTTGGGCCAATAACCAGGAGTCTGGGAATTCTAGTCCTGCCTCAGGTCTGAAAGTCAGCTGAGTAATTTTGGGCCTGTCACTGTCTCTCAGCCCAACTCACTGTCGCTGTTGTTGGGAACATAGGAGGATGAAGGAGTACTATGTATGTTCACTGCCTATAATAAAGGCGGGTTAATAAATAAATAATATAAAAAGTAAATTTAAGCCACTCATTAAACATTAGCACCTCTACTCCCAGTGAGATTGGAAGCAGATTGAAACAACATGTCCTGACAAGGTCAGAATCGTTGTTTTGAAGTGGAAATGTTTTGAATGCAAAATGCTTTGTACAGGGCTAGTAAGTATGAAATAAGATATGAGGTACCACAGATCAGAGATAGCACTGAAGAAACCAAATTGAAGCCAAGTGAAATAATGCTGTTAGGAAATGTCGTGCAGTTTCCTTAATTAGATAATTAAGCATAACGTCCAGCTTGTAGCTCCTGTTTCTGAACTCTAATCCTTGAATTAGAGTTGGGCAAAAAAATGCACTGACGTATTTTCCCACTGAATCAGAATGAATCAGAATGAAGAATAAAGAAAAGATTACCTACTCTGAACCAAAATCACAGCATTGATTGGTTTCTGATATATAATGATTTTAATGTATGCTTCTGGTTACGCAATTACTGTGAATGTAATTCCTAGGAAAATTGTTACACCGTAGGAAGCCTATAATAAGGAAATTATACTCACTGCCTCTAATGTGTTTGCCAAAATAGGTCATTCACTATTCTCTCTGAATGACTTGATTATAATTTTTGTGTTAGAGTTCTTTAATTGTAAACTGTGGGAACTAAACTTATTACAAAATAAAGCTGGAGTATTAGTATCATTTTGAGTTGCAGGGACTTAACGATGTGGAGATTGTCTCCTACTTTATAGAAGATGTATGGAACTTGGATTTATGATAGATGAGTATAGTGCTCCACTCACGACCACAATTAAGCTCAAACTTTCTGTTGCTAAGTGAGACGGTTAAGTGAGTTTTCCCCATTTTATGACCTTTCTTGCCACAGTTGCGAAGTGAATCACTGCAGTTGTTAAGCTAGTAACATGGTTGTTAAGTGAATCTGGCTTCCCCATTGAGTTTGCTTGTCAGAAGTCGCCAAAGATGATCACATGACCCGGGACACAGCGACTGTCATAAGTATGAGTCCATTGCCAAGTGTCTGAAGTTTGATCAGGGATGCTGCAATGGTCAAAAGTGTGAAAAATGGTAATAAATCAAATAATAGTAGTAGTAGTAGTAGTAGTAGTAGTAATAAAATAAAATAAAATAAAATAAAATAAAAGTTGGAAGGGACCTTGGAGGTCATCTAGTCCAACCTCCTGCTCAGGCAGGAAACTTTATACCATTTCAGACAAACGGCTGTCCAGTCTCTTCTTAAAAATGTCCAGTGTTGGAACATTCACCGCTTCTGGAGGCAGGTTGTTCCACTGGTTAATGGTTCTGTCAGGAAATTTCTCCTTAGTTCTAGGTTGCTTCTCTCCTTGATTAGTTTCCATCTTTTTCGGTGCCATTGTAACTTTGAACGGTCACTAAATGAACTGTTGTAAGTCAAGGACTATTTGTGCATTTTCAATATGTGGGGTCCTGAGCGCTCTCTGACTTGGTTGTTTTCTTGCAGATGTTTCATTACCCAAATTAGGTAACATCATCAGTGCCCCTCATTTCAACCCCTAGCTACAGAAATTCTCTTTATTTTCAGTATGGTTTTGGAGCCGATTCTGTGGTGTGTAATTGGTTTAATACTTTATATAACACAGTATTGTGATTTGGTCTGTAAGAAATTTCAGAAACCAAAAAGCAAGTTAAACTGAGTCTTAGGTACATCAGTTTTTGAATACCTAAAGCCAGCAGCTCTAAACCTTTGGTGGTGACACAAGGAAAATCTCATTAATCTCAGTATTCATCTAAAAACAATATATGGGAATGTCACTATGGAATGAACAAAAAACCTTTTTTCTGCAAAAGAAGCAATATAATGTTTTGTTACTTGAGCTTGACTTATCAGTCATAATTCCCTAGCTATAGGCATCCTCTCTTGTTTGTAGAGTTCTACTTTATGTCTGGGGTTTAATATTTGGGTTTTATTATAATATTGCCAGTTCAAGTCAGTCATCGTAGTCTTGGCTATGGCTTAAAACTCGGTGGGCAACATTTTCTTTTCCTGTTCATCTACAGTTGTTTTGTTGGAGGCCACATGATGGGTGGAATTAAAATGAACTAGAGATCCAAAAGGAAATAGTGATGTTCATTCTCTTTCTGACAACACTTTTTCCCGATAACCTCTTTCATCTCTCTTAAGCAGTATCCTAGAGAAAAAAACAGAAAGCTCTTACAGAAGAGATTATCTCCTCCATAAGGATTTCAATCCAGCTAAATCCATTCTCAGGAACATTGTTTGCTGGTCCCTGGTTTAAAATATTCAACATTTTTCTTACTCCTTTACCTCATAAGGGTACAGTGGATACAGGTGGGCCTTGATTGATGATCACAATGGAGCACAGAATTTCTGTTGCTAGTTGTTAAGTGAGTTTTGTCCCATTTTACGACCTTTCTTTCCTCAGTTGTTAAGTGAATCACTGCAGTTGTTAAGTTAGTAACATAGTTATTAAGTGAAACTGGCTTCCCATTGACTTTCCTTGTCAGAAGGTCGCAAAAGGAGATCACATGACGCTGTGATATTGCAACTGTCATAAATATAAACCAGTTGCCAAGCGTCCGGATTCTGATGAATTGATGAACATGGGGAATGGTCATAAGTTTGAAAAAATGGTCATAAGTCACCTTTTTCAGTGCTGTGGTAACTTTGAATGGTCACTGAAGGAACCATTGTCAGTTGAGAAGTACCTGCATATTTACTTCAAGCATGTTCTTAATGGCAGAATCAAGTAAGATCTAAGATGATATTGGAACAGCTGACTTGTTATCCAGGTTAATCATTTGTTCCTTGTATGGACTGTGTTTCGGTCATTTCATATCCATCCAATGATCATTTATTCTCGGGTCGTTACCTCAGTTTTTATGAAAATTATTCCAGATTAAACATCATAAGCAGTAAGTAACGAGTGTCTCCAGGAACTGGAAATTGAAGTCTCTTTTTCCGTATTATTCTCTTGGGAGGTAAATAAACTGTTTACAGTAGCTGCAAACTGAGGTTAGGGATTTTACTCCAGACTGACTTGTTCGGTGGCACTAATCGGCGTTAGCTACAAAATATGCTGTCATCCTCTTTGCAAACATGCTGTGTTTGGAATCAGTCCATTACTCAGCTTGCAAATAATATGTGTATGCCAAGCAGGGTTTTTTAGCAGAATCCCTTCTCAATATTTTTTTTTTCCTGACACTGGTGCTAAATCTGTATAAAACGGGTGCATTAGGGGACACAGTCTCCCCGTTCGGGAAATGGACCTCTTTGCAAAAGAATAAGCATCTGCTAAAGATGTTTTGAAACTGGCAAACATCTGAGGTTGATCAGAAGCATGTTTGTATCGCTTTGCGCCTGGAGGTGGATTTGACTAGCCCTGGTTAAGCAGAGATGAGATGTCGAGGACTTTGCTTTGGTTCTTTCTCCTGCATCATCAGCAGCAGCAGCATCTATAAAGCATCTTGGGAATTGCTTGCCGTACGGCGAGAGCAAACTGGTCACATGAGTCTGAATTTTCATTTTAGTTCATTAGTCAGCCATTTTGGTCAACACCCTCTTTAACTGCGCACAATCCAATCCTATTATCCTTCTGAATCTGGGTTGATCGGAAGGGGGCAAGAGAGAGAGAGAGAGAGAGAGAGAGAGAGAGAGAGAGAGTGCAGCTGTAGACCTCAGTGGATCCTGGATACCTTTTTCTTCTCTTTGTGGTTATTGTTCTGTTGTTTTGCCATTTTTTTTTTAAAAAAAAAAGACAAGGCTTTTTCTAAGAGACTGCAAAGAGGGCTGTTTTTTTTCTTTCCCCTCCGCTCCTGATGCAGAGGCCGTGCGCGAAGGGGTTATTCAGGAATAATAGCTCCTAGTCACATCGGTTGGTTGTGCGTGTGTGCACGGGTGTGCAGCCTTGCAGAAGAAAACCAGAGAAAGGGGAAACAGCTGAGAAGGGGGTCTCTTTTCCCCCCCTTCCCCTCTGCCTCGCTTTCCTCAAAAGTAGTGCATTGTCTGATCTTCAGAAAATCTTTCCCAAGCCGGCCATCTATTTGATTTTTGATTTCTTTTTTTTTTTCTTTTTTTTTGGTTCTCTTCGAGGGGAAGATTTCTTTTTTATGGTTTTCTTTCATTTTCGCTTGATTTTATTTTATTTTTCCCCACATCGGCTTTATTGTTGTATCCGCTGAGTCATCATGTCCGCTCTGACGCCTCAAAGCGATACGCCGACTCCCACCACAGACAAGATCACCCAGGCTGCCATGGAAACGATCTATCTGTGCAAATTCCGGGTGTCTATGGATGGAGAATGGCTCTGTTTGAGGGAACTGGATGACATCTCTCTGACGCCTGACCCCGAACCGAGTCAAGAAGGTACGGTTTGCCCGAACCTGCCAGCCAACCCTGGCTGTTGCGGTGGAAAGGGGTAGGGTTTTGATGTTGGCGTTCCCAGCACACCACCCAAGCGTAGCCGTTTCACCCTACGTGGAATAACCTTATTTCATTTGCATGTGGACCGTGCTGTTGATTCTGATTTTTAAAAAAAGGAGTCGCTTTGTGGAAAGCGGAAAGGCTGGCTAAAGACGAAGGTCAACAGCGGGAGAAATGGTTGGCTTATTCTGTTTTTCTAGGCACCTGCGCTCTTTGCAGCAAGATCTCTAGCAGAATAACCTGAGGCTGTGCCTTCTCTTCTGCACTGGAAAGAAAATTCATCTTGACATTTAAAGATGGAATTTCAGCCTCCTAAACTACTGTTGTTAACTTTTTTTAGCAAAAGGGGTTCATTTTTCGTAGAGGACAATGCCCAAAAATAATAGGGTTAGGTCCAGCCTAACCTAACCTACTATTATTATTATTTTTTAGCAAAAGGGTTTTATTTTTCATAGAGGACAATGGCCAAAAATAATGAGGTTAGGTGCAACCTAAACTACTACTATTATTTTTTTTTAGCAAAAGGGGTTTATTTTTCATAGAGGACAATGGCCAAAAATAATGAGGTTAGGTGTAACCTAAACTACTACTATTATTTTTTTTAGCAAAAGGGGTTTATTTTTCATAGAGGACAATGGCCAAAAATAATAGGGTTAGGTCCAATCTAACCTAAACTACTACTATTATTTTTTTAGCAAAAGGGGTTCATTTTTCATAGAGGACAATGGCCAAAAATGATGGGCTTAGGTGCAATAATGTAATTAATGTAATTACATTATTAATTAATGTGATATAATGGGGTGAGGTGTAATAATGAGGTTAGGGGACGAGGCTAAAACACATGAAGAACGGTTGCAGGAATCTGGTATGTCTGGTTTAATGGAGAGAAGGACATGATAGCAGTCTTCCAGTATCTCAGGGGCTGCCACAAAGAAGAGGGAGTCAACTTATTTTCCAAAGCATCTGAAGGCAGGACAAGAAACAATGGATGGAAATTAATCAAGGAGAGAAGCAGCCTGGAACTAAGGAAAAAAATTCCTGACAGTGAGAACAATTAATCAGTAGAACAACCTGCCTCCAGAAGTTGTGAGTGCTCCATCACTGGAGGTTTTTAAGAGATTGGGACAATCAGAATGTCATAGGGTTTCTGCTTGAGCAGGGGGTTGGACTAGAAGACCTCCAAGGTCCCTTTCAACTCTGTTTTACTCTGCTGAAGCAGATGATTTTTAAAAAAGTATGCCACCTTTGGGTATAAAAGGAATGATATAGTTTAAAATTTAGATGGTGTAAATTGATAATGTGTCCTTTGGGGATTTAAGAGAGACTTCATGGTGGCTGGTTTTGATAGGAGAGGAAATAAGTAGGAAATTATAGGGGAGACAGGATTATTATTTATTGTATGACAAGGGGATACAGGAAATAGAACTGTAAGCAGTAAACAGGGTATTATTTAATCTCTGGTTTAAAGATTTCATTTTAAAATCAGGAAGTACCCGGTGAAGGTGATTTGAATTTAGTTCCCTTTTTAAATCTCTACCGACTGCTTTTTTGTCAAAACATCTTTTTTTGAAGCAAAATGAAAGCATTTAGTCTTTCATGCCCCAGTGTAATATTCACAGGTGTGGAATCCACCTGCTGTTTGACAGTTATCACAATGGGCAACCCTGTGTTACCTCAGCCATTTTCAAGGTGAGGGTAATCTCTTGTATAAAATCCAAAGTTAATTGAGGTGGTTTCTCATTCCTTACTTTCGCAGAGAGTAGCCAGTTTATTTTTATTTCTTTGTTGTTGGTTTGCATCTCTGACCTACACATGAAGCGCAGGTTCCCTGCTCAGTTGCCATCTTGTGTGGCTTTCCCAAAGATGCTTTTTCCAAGAGGCAACTGGACCTCCTTTATTTTTCCTTGAAGATGTTTCGCTTCTCCTCCAAGAAGCTTCTTCGGTTTTGACTGAATGGCTGGGAATGGAAGTATTTATATTCCTTGCAGTCTTCTGTTCGTTAGCACTCTGTCTGAGAGTTGTTGAGGCCACTTTGAGGTTTATTCGTGTCCTCAGGGTCACCTGAATACATGTAGTCCTTGACTTACCACCACAAGGGAGCCTAACATTTCTGTTGCTAAGTGAAACATTTCTTAAGTGAATTTTGCCCCATCTTACGACTAAGCCAATCACTGCAGTTATAAAGTTAGTAACACGGTTGTTAAGTGAATCTGGCTTCCCCTTGACTTTGCTTGTCAGAAGGTCGCAAAAGGGGATCACATCAACGGTCATAAATATGAATCAGTTGCCAAGCCTCCGAATTTTGATCATATGATCATGGGGATGTAAGTGTGAAAAACGGTTGTAAGTCACTTTTTTTCAGTGCCATTGTAACTCTGAATGGTCACTAAATGAACCGTTGTAAGTCGAGGACTAACTGTAGTGCAAATTTGGTGTGGAACCTTATTGGGACTGTGTTGTAGACTGGAGATAGATGATGTTGTATCCCCCCCCCGTTGAGAGAGGGCTGTTCAGTTTTAGTATTGTCTAGATGGCCTCTTTGACCCCTCTTTCAAAGCAGCGGCCCTCTGTGTCCAGAACATGGACTTTGCGGTCTTCAGAAGAGTGGCTTTTGTTTTTCAAACGCAGATGGGCTGCTGAATTCAGATGGAATTGAAAAAGCACCTTTGGGATAACCCTGTCCTGGAGGGCTGAGAATCTCCATAGACACTTATCTGACTTTGTTTTTCTAATCTCTGCTTCTAGCTGAGAAGATTTCCAGAAGGTTTGGTATCCCTCATACAGTGGCCATAAATTACAGGCTCTAGATAAGAAAGCAGCATCCTACTTTCCTTGGGGAAGCTTCACACTTTAGGAAATCTAATTTTATCCTATGGCCCCACTGTTATGCACTTAGAGCACTCACAGATACTTCCCTACATTTGAGACACCAGGAGAGGATTATTCAGTTCTTACCTGGAAAGGCAGATAAGAGGAAGTGGAGGGTAATAAAATGAAAATGAGAGCAAATGATTTTAATATGTGGAAACTGCATTTTGCAGGAGACTATCCTGCATTTAATTTCTGTTTAATTCTTCACTGTACTATTAGCCCATTCTACTAATACCTGCAAACATTGAAAAGGATGTACTTAAGATGCCACTTTCTCTTCAACTCAGATCTCAGCTTGGATGTGTTTTTTTTAAAGGGTTTGTTTATACAAATTTCTTTGAGATGGACCCTGGTGTTGCTTTATTTCTAATAAATATATCATAGGTCCGTTGTAACTTTGAACAGTTGCTAAGTCACTGGTCATTAGATTTTTGCTCAGCAGTGAAACATGGAAGGGGGGAACCAAGGGCCCTTATTGGAATTATTTTCCTATTTTTTTCCACAAGAAAATCACTCTCTTCATTATTTAGGTGATGGAAAGCTCTACACGCCTCAAAGTTGTGAATTATTTACCACACAGCGTGATTATCAGTAAAGGCAGCTAAGAGGTAACAGTAAGTTCACAGAATGTATAATGATAATGCAGCCAGCACAGAAGGGTCTCATATGGAAAACACAGCAAGATGGAAAGTCAAAGGCTATTTTAAACGGTGCAATTTACCTAATATTAATTCTGCTGCTATTTCCAGGATTTATTTTCTCATATCCAAACCCTTTATTTTTTTAATTGATTAATGGATCGCCAAGCATATAAGCCTGCGACCATTCCTTTTTTTAAAAAAGAATGTATTGTAGAAGTAGTTTAGCCAAATGCTTTCAACTTTCACCCTTACAAAATAATGTTGCATTGTGCATTCCAGAAAGTCATTGTAAACAACGCTGCCTCGCTTTTTAAATTACTTGATTCATATGGACTTATTTATTGATTTGATTTATCTGCCGCCCATCTCATCCAGAGGTGACTTACAAACATGAAAAACAAAATGATCAAAACAATAAATAACAATAGTAATAAGTACAGTTAAAAGATGGGGAGAAGCAGAGCACAAAGTACGTGGAGTCCTCGAATTACAGCCACCATTAAGCCAAAAATTTCCACTGCTGAGAAACACAGTTATTAAGTGAATTTTGCCTCATGTTACGACCTTTCTTGCCACCATTGTTAAGTGAATCGCTGCAGCTGTTAAGTTAGTAACACGGTTCTTAAGTGCATTTGGCTTCGGTTGTCGGAAGGTTGCAAAAGCTGATTTACGGGACCCCGGGACATTGTAATCGTCATAAATATGAGTCAATTACCAAGTATCTGAATTTTGATCATGTGACCATGGGGACGCTACAGTGATCGTAAGTGTGAAAAGCGGTCATAAGTCACTTTTTTCAGTGCTGTTGTGACTTTGGTCACTAAATGAATGGTTGTAAGACGAGGACTATCTCTATGGGGGGGGGCTTTTCTTAATCCAATAGCCACTTCCAGAATGGTGCACCTCTTATTAGGGCCCCTGGCCAACTGATAGAGCCATATCATCAGGCCCTTAGGAAGATGGTCAAAAGGGTGGCTGTGGATATCACCTCAGGATCTTCCAAAGGGCAGGAACCATGGCGGAAAAGGCTCTTCTCCCAGACCCCGCCAGCTGAAACTCCTTGACGGACAGGTCTGGAACATAGCCCTTCTAGCACAGTTGGGACAGTTGGAATGAGACAGTTCCTTACATAACCTGGACCCAAAGTAATAATCCCAAGGTGCTTGATCAAACAAAACCTATTTTATTTTGATTCTACGGAACAACATAAATCATGTAGTTCTCCTTCCTTCTTAGATAGAATAGAATAGAATAGAATAGAATAGAATAGAATAGAATAGAATAGAATAGAATAGATAACCTTTATTGTCATTTTTTTACTGTGGGCACAACGGCACACATCAAAAATGAAATTTAGTTGCCCGCTCTCAAAGTGAAACACATACATGACACACACCTAAACATACTACGAACAACATATGAATAGAATAG